AGCTGCAAAACTGCTCCTACCAGCTTTACCAAAGGAATGTAATGGCTCTAAAGCTGCTGTTCAGAGAATCGTGTAATTTCATCTGGTCATATTAGGCTGACATTGAGTCAGCCTCATGTGCCTTGGTGTTGCCTCTTCTGTCTCCAAATCTATCTACATGTGCACCTTCAGTCTTGGAGAGAAGCTTGTGAAGTAAATGCATCTGAGGATTGCAGTGCAGGTTCCCTGTCTCCTGTATTCTTGCCTCGATTTATGAAATGAGATGTGCTTGCCTTAGCAAAATCTGGTTTAATTCTGTTTTTCCAAAGAGAAATGTTGCACTTGTTCAGACAGCTGACATGTCAAGTGTTCGTCAGCAAATGCAAGTGGGAAACAAGCCTTATGCCTTCTCAGTTTGATGGGAGAAGTAGCATTGTTGTCTGCAAAAGGTATTCCACCCTGTTATCCCTGCTTTGTTGTTATACTGAAGATAGAAGATTTCTTTGCAACTCTGACCTTATTTCATACCTAGTTCCTGCACACTTCAGTCTGAATTTTGAGGCAATGCCTATTGGCTGTTCAGTGACAGCTCAAAGGAGCATGTGTTGTCCTAAATTATTTGCTTTGCACACTTTGTACCTGTGATCTCTAACACCCACATTCCCTCTTTTTGTGGTTTTTTTTGGTCTAATTCCATATCTCTTCACCCTGGTGCAGTCACTGCGTGCACCTTGCAGCTGCTTAACCAGGAACAGCTGAGGCTGCTGAGTGGGGGGCGTGGAGGCAAGGGATTTGTGTTCCATGGGCTTCTCTCTGCTTTTGCAACATCATCCCAATTATTGTTCTTTGAAATAATGATTTTTTTTTTTTCATTTGTATGAGTTCCTTGGCTTAAGCACTGTGAGATCAGCAAGAAGTGAGGAACTCTTCTGAAACCCAGCAGGCAGTGCCCTCTGGGTATGCGTGTGTATTGCAAAGTCATCAGTCATTCAGTTGTTGACTCGAAGTTATTCTGGTTTGCCAGCATGCTCATTCCCTGCTGAGTTACAGCCACAGATAACAAAAGTGAACTTTGTATTTTTCAGAGTGTAGTTTTTTTCCCAGATTTTATTTGCTGTCTTTTGGGGTTTGGTTTTGCTTTGGTTTGGCTTTTCCTTGAGGATGTTCTATAGGTGGAGAATGTAGTGCTTGAGAAGTGAATTTTGCCCCAGTTTCTCAAAATTACTTCTGAGGAGAACAGTAGCAGTCATTGCTTGCACTGTGTTGTCCAGATGGATCAACATGGTTTGGACAAGAAGGTTTAGTGTTGTTTTGGATCTAGATGCAGGGGGTGGGTGCTCAAAGGCCTCTCTGAGTACAGACGGAGCCATGTGGGACTGGCTGGAAGTATGACAGGAAGTCTGAAATACTTATCACAAGATTATTGATTGTGATATCAGAGGGCAGCTGTTAAGTTGGGAAAAGTGATCTGCAAGTCATTGTAATTCCTGTTCTGGATGAATGGAATTGGCTAAGATAGAAGAGGCCAAAAAAACCCACACCTCTAGCTGGAGCTTCTAATATTTAATACAGCATCACAAGCCTCATCTGTCGTGCATTAAGGTATGGCTGCAACTGGTTATCCTCTCGCTGGTCTTGGAAAGGAGCTGTTTGCTTGTCTGTGCATTGTGTTTGTCTGCTTCACACACTCGCTCTGCAGTCTGCAAAGGGATTTTTATAGTTGGCTAAAGGATGTTGAAAAGTGTTTTAAGCTTGTGATCTTGTATTGAGTCCCTATGGGAGGGGTAGTGCCAGTTGGTCTCTGAGGAGACCATGTTTAGGGAGAGGCAAAGGGGGGACAAATCTCTTGTGCATGAGCTTGGCATGTCTCCCCAAACCAATGCTGACCTAATCCAGAAAGGCTGCCAGGTACTTTGGAAGAGGTGAGAGTAATTTTCTGGGGTTTTGTTTTGCTCTGCATTTGTTACAGTTAAGTGGAACCAAAGTCAGCTGTGATGATAATGACTTCTAGTGAATTGAGGTGATTGGGGATACAAAGCATCTCTGCATAGGGGATGCATGTTTATGCAACAGCTTCTAGCTACTTTTGGAAGATTTTTGCAAGATCTTTGGATCTTACAAATATATGTAGTTCTTGGGATGGTTGAGATTAATATTTTATTTTTTCTAATAAATTTGTTCTAATTAATCCTGAGATTTTAATAATAATAATAATGATAGTATTTATTTATAGCTATAATCCTGTTATATTTGCAGTTTCAAAATGCCATGCAAGATGTTTATTCTTTGAAGGTGGTTATTATAATTTCAAAATTATTACTAAAGGTATGAAAAAAAACTTCTATAATAAATGTTTAGTGTTTGTATTTGTTGCTGTTATTTGTTACTAGTTTATTTAAAACGGTGTATGTGTACCTTATTATGTGGGTAATTCATTCTCAGGGTCACTTCTTAGGTTGTAAAATAATGCTTCTTATAAACTCTTACCTTGAAAAGGGACATAAGCTGCACTCTTTAAAATGTGAAATACATTAAGGATGCTTTTTTTCCTTTTATGTTTGTGGGTTAAGTACTTTCTGAATCTCTGCTATGACCTGTGAACTTTTCATAAGTGCACTTACTTTGTCACTGTGTGGTAGGAATGCAGGTTGCCAGACAGTGCTCTGAAGCACCTGTAGTGTCTTTGAGAGAACCCAATTCACTTGCTTTAAGTTGAAGGATTTGGGGTTTAAAGGAAGTCCTTGCTGTCTGCTCTAGGAAAATCTCTTGTGGGCAGAATATTTAATTTTTTTCCCTTGCTTTCCCCCTTGATCCCAGGCTTATCCACTGCAGCTTTCAATGGTTAATCTACAACATATGTGAAGAGTGACAGTAAGAGTGTGGTGAAGGTTGAGATAAACTTGTAAAACTGCCTTGCAGTTTGGGGCAGTGGGAGAAGTACTGGAAATTGGCCTGGCTGAACAACACAAATTATTATTGCCAATTCCCTGACAAGAATGTGAGGCTGCTTTCCTGAGCAGCCAGTGCTGGTGTAGCATGTTGCAAAGGCTGTGCTGGTATTGCACAGGTCATCTCCTCTCCTGTCCTGATACTTTCATCTGTGCTAAGGTGCAGGTGGAAGCAGTGATAAGGAAAGAGCAAAGTCAGTCTGTGCTGTGCTTGCATAGTGTGTAATGGGAGAGAGGCCCTGGTGGAGCTGGGCACCCGGCGTAGTCGCTGGTACGTAGGACTAGATGGGGCTGCTGAGCTGCCTTTCCCTGCCAAGACTTCTGTTCTCGGGTCAGATTTAGAAATATTTCCAGCTGCCAGGTGAGATAACACAGGCTTGAACTTCTGGCTGCACTGAGAAACCTGCTTGCACAAAATGAGCCTGATGCTGTGCACACCTGCTCCAGGGAGAAAGCTGCAGAGCGGGTGCAAGGGCCCTACAGTCATTTTGGGCTTCCCATCTCTCTGGGAGAACAGAAGATCTAAAAATCCTCCATCTGTTTTCAACAGGTAAAATAACTCTTTTTACTAGAATAAATAGGCAGGAAGAAGACTCTTGAGATCCTCAGGAAACTTGAAGGTTGGCTAGGAAAACTGAATTTGAAGCACTGCACTTTAGTATCAGGTTTTGTCCCCATCTTTGGCTATTCGATGGTCCAGTGTAGACCTGTATATTGCGTGTCCTCTGAGAAGCTTGGGGAAGCTGTTTCTATTTCATCCCTTTACAGATAGGGTGGTTTTAAAGCTAAAACTCTGTTGCCCTGTTTGGGGCTTTAGGATATAGCAGAAGGAAAAATTGGAAGCAGGAGTTTAATGGTACAAAGCATCAAAATATTGCAATCTGAGTCACAGGTAACAAACATTATTTGGGGCTCTTATGGAGGAGAAATAGCTCTTAGATTCTTAAACTCCTAAGCATGGTTGAAACTGGAGTTCTCATGGTTAAAACTGAGACTTCTAGCCTGGATGGCTAAATTAGGGTCTTACGCACATTACTGAGGACTGTTGGGTGTTCTTCACTGTGGTATTTATACCATTCACACATACTGCTCATTCTGTGTTGTGAACTGCCTTTGCAGTCATCACATCCATCTCAGAGATGTCACACAAAGCTGAATCTTAACACTCTTTGAAGGCTGTCACATTTCTCTTCGTAATTTCAGGATGGTGACCAAAGCTTGCTTTACTGATGAGGAGGAGGATTGCCCTTAAAAATTACTTGGGGAAGAGGCTTACAATAGGTCTAGTTCAGACTGAAATGTTTAGAAGTTGATACAAAGCTCCAAAAACCTCAGAACCAAGAGGATAAATCCAGATAGAAACTACTAATCTGCTCGGATATCAGTGGGAGCTGTTTCAGTGTCTTCAGTGATGAAAGCCCCTCCATTTGGTCAAAATTACATGCGTACATTAATAATGAAGGAAATACATTTTCTGTTGTTATATGTGGGGAAATGAAGGCTTACTGTGGGTGTGAATATTCTTCAGTAACAGCTGTGTCTGTGTAATGTCTTGGAAGACCAGAAGTAGTAGTTTTTGCTTGTTTTCAATCAAAATTTCTTTGAGCTTTTTTTAATGAGCAAGTAAACTAAAGCAGAAATCAACCTTGGTTCCTTGGTTTTGACTGACTGGGTGTAAAGGCAAGGCCAGGACTGTAGCTCCCCTTATTATCAGTGTGCTCAAACTGGTGAAAACCCTTCTGCTGAGCCTGGGTACAACATTATTAATTGCCTCAGAATGAATCCAAAGACATCATATCTGTGCTGCCACATGCTGCTGGGCTTTGAGATTGACTTTGTACACTTGGCTTTTTGACTTAAGCATTTCCATTGGGATGTGAAAGAAGGAGAGCAAAGTACCTTTTCCAAAGAAGGAGCCTCTCTGGGAAGTTGGGAAAGATCTTTACTCCTCCTGCCTCTGAGCCCTAGCTTGTTTGTGATGTGTAATGATACTTGCCTGCCTTTTGTATGTTTTTATTTTCCATTCCTGCTCATAGGGATATAAATTGTTCTTTGTTTTTTTTTTTTTAATAGGTATATTGCAGTGGATCTGAAGTTGATATAAGAGAGAATTTCTTCTGGGAAGAGAAGCTTCCCTGTAAGGCCAACCCTGAAGATGTGGACTGCCATTGTGTTCTTCCTGCTGATTTCCATCTGTATATGTGAACACAGGTTTTCTGTCCTGAAAAGGAGAGGAGTCCATGTAGTGCAAATAAACAGACTTACAAGTGAAGAGCAATGCAGGCGGGCTTGTCAGAGCTCAGGAGCTTCAGGTGAGGTTCTTGTCCCTTGGATGGAATTCCAGCTGCATTTTCAGCTCCTTGAAGGTCTCTGCTGCTCCTTTGACTTTCTTTTTCAATTCCAGTTGTTTACAGGCATTTACAGTTACAGCTGCTATGTGTGGTGCTGAATAACTTCTGACAGCTTTGGTTAAATTGAATCCAGGACAACTGCTTCCCAGGGCCCTTCAAGCTTCCATAGGAAACAGCATGTGCTGTTGGTGTGCATTGATGGCGTGCAAAGTGTTAGGTCACTTGAATTGAAAAAATTATTCCCTGCTGCCAGATGTTTTGCAAGTGAGCAGTGCTGTTATAGACAGCTGCACTAGAATGAGCAGTCTTTGCTCCCTTTTATTTGTGTATGTTTTTTGCCTCAGAAGAAACCACTTTGTCCTGCAACCAAGCACAAGGGTTAAATCTGTTGAGGTAAAAGCCTTCTCACTACCTCTGTCTTCACAAAGAATTAAACTTCTAAAAGAGTCTTATAGTTGTCCTTTTGAAGGTCCCAACCTTGTCTAGCCAGATGAGAAAACTTGTAGCTCCTACAAAAAGCTGGTGATGCTGTGGTAAAGAAGAGACCTTGGCTCAGGTGGATTAATAACTGACATTCAAATGGTTAGGAACTTAATAAAGATGCTGGTTTAATTGGTCATTTTCCTCATTAAGACATATAGATGAATTTACCAGGTCCTAACTGTAGTGCACTTTGTCCCTGTCTGGGTGAGTGAATTGCTGTTGTCAGGAATTGCTGATACCAGAAGACAAACAGGTGGGTAGGTTACATTGGCAATATTGTTTTCATTGGCTTTCTTTGTTTGTTTTCATTAAGGCTGAGTCAGAATCCTTTAAGGCCAGACCTTCTAGATATTGTCTGGTTTGGGCTTTATTTTTTTGGTTGTGTTTTTTTTATGTCTTTTTTTTTTTTTTTTTTTTTTTTTTTTTTCTTAATTCTTTAATTAGAGTGCCAAAGCAATGCCTTTGGTATCCTGTGTGCAGCAATCCATTTTCTCTGCTGTTTTCAGGGAGCCATGACTGTAATTGGTCTGTGCCCTACCAGAATCACTGCCTCCTCCTGCAGTGTCACCAGCTGAGTGTGTGCCAGAATGCTGGAGAACAAGACATCAAAGACCTGCTTGCAGGTAAAACCCTGTTTCAGCCTTCTGGGAAATCAGTTTCCTGATTCTTTTGCTTTAAATGCCTACATTTAACCCCTGATAGGCTTTCAGCTGAGGAAGATGGGCTCTGAAATGCCTGCAGGGTGATTCTGTAGGTACAGTTCATTGGAATAACTGTTTCATTTTGTCCTAGGGACTCTGGCACTTGCATGAGTGCATGATGTCTTTGAATAGCTTTTGTAACACTGAGTAACAGTTTGTCTCCATGTTGAAGACATCATTCATTCAAGCCATTTGCACACCACACGCTGTCCTAGTGAAAATAAAGGCATAACAGATGTATTTATATCTTTTTTTTTTCAGAGAAAGGAAAATGTCCTGGCATTGTTTTTCTCTCAGATTGCCAGGGTTTTGTTCCAGAGTCAACAGACTGCTTCTTTAATCAGAGCAGCAATTGCTCATGGTGACTTTCCAGTGCCAGAGTATTCAGTTTTAATAAAGTGACACAATAACAAAATGGAGCTTATTTATAATTGGGAAATCAATCTTCTAAAGTTTGTTTCAAGAGTTCACTGTACCCAAGTTTAAAAAAAGTTTGTTCATGGTTCTTTGGGCAAAGGTTTCTCTGCAATATAACAACTGGACTTGTGATAAGCAGATGGGGTTTATGTCACTATAAATCTAGCTCACTTAGTTGTGAAGGAAATTATCCTGATGTATGAAGGTGTAAGTACAAATTTCTGTTCAGTTTTGACAAGTGAAAATTACAAATCTAGGCACAAAGGCTTTGTCGATGATGTGTAACTTTGAAAGCATGAGTTTTCTTCTCAGGAGCTGACATTTGTAAGACTGCTCCCATTGATGCTGTGCTCCGCATTGTAGCTCTCTACTTCATTACTCCCCTTTTGTGAAATTAACTCCCTGGCTGGGCAAATATGAGAGGTCTGTGCTAGAAAAAAACAAACCAAAAAACCTCAAAGGGATTATGTGCAATAAAGGCTGGGGGTCTTTAATTTTCATGTTCTTGCTGAATTCAGGACAGATCTATTCCACTTGTACTGTGTGTACTGCAGAATATGTGTTCTGGTTTGCATGTTGGGGGTTGAGATTAGATTTGAGCTTGAAATTTTTTATTCTTACAAAAGTAATTTGTTTTGTCTTTTGGAAGAAATTGTCAGCAGCAAATGGGAGCCAGCCCTGTTTCACCACCAGAGCCATCCCCAGAAAACTCAGAGGATGCTGAATGCACAGATTGACCAACACAGTGCAGAAAACACATTTTCTTTAATTGCTCAGACTCATAATATTCATTTGAGGCATTTTCCTGGGGTTGAGAAGAGAGATGTCACAATAAGAACAAGAAAACTACTTGCAAGCAATGCTATCACCACTGCCCCTGCTATAACAACAAACATTACAAATGCAACTTTGTCTACCACTTACAAAGCACCTACCAAAGCCCCAGACAGCTCTGGAGGTTCTGATACCTTTACTACAGCCATGTCATCCAGTGACTTTTCTCCCCCTCATGGTAACATCTCTGCTCCTGTTTCCAGCAATGTCACCCAGATGGTGACGACCAGCCAAAGATTAGGAAGTAGTAGCTCTGTCCCAGTATTGTCCCCCACTTCTGCTCCCCTCACTGCTACTACTGAAGGAGGTACCCAAGCACAGCAGCCTAGGCTGGGTACCACCAGCAGCAATGCTCCTCACCCTGACAGTCACACCCGTGCTGGAGATGACCTGAAGACACTGACCACAACACTGAGCACCCCCATCCTGCAGGATGCAGGAACGTCTTCCCGTGCTTCCACGCATGCAACGGCACCCATCCCAACAGAGAGCTCTCACTCTGTGAATCCAGTGCATGCTGGCACATCACCAGAGCTAAAGCCAGAGGCAAATACATCCACAGCATCCTTGAATGAATCGGCTTCTCCTCTGGGCTCTACAAGAGGTGCCATGGTTTTAACTACAACCTCTACAGTAGCAACTACGACTGAACATGGGCTAAAGTCAACATCTGATGTCTTTTCAACAGCCATGGCTCCAACAGATGCAGCCAAAACAACAGCTTTGGGCCTCACAGAAACTCAGCACACAGACAACGAGTATATTCTCATTGCTGCCAAGCCCCTGACTCAGTACTTAGTGGATGAAAGTTCACTACTTGCAGTGCTTTTAGTTGGTACATTCTTTTTCTTAACTGTTATAGTTCTTTTCCTCCTGCAGGCCTATGAGAGCTACAAGAAGAAAGATTACACACAAGTGGATTACCTGATCAATGGAATGTATGTGGACTCAGAGATGTGAAGAGGTGGGGATGAATAGTAGGCAAGAGGTGGAAAGGAGATTCAAAGTCTGCATGACTTGTTTTTCCTTTCTGTCTGCCTATAACACAAACTGAAAGTGCTTCCAAATTTACTTCTAGTGCAATTGAGGAGAAATGCCATGTACTGTATTAAAAAAAAATAATAATTTTTTATTCAATTGTGCAACAGGTTGCTGTAAAACCATAAAAATAATAATTTTTAACATTTTCATAATGCACAGTAACTTTGGCCATTATAATTCATTGTAAAGCAAATCTAACAAGGTGTAAGTTGCCATCCTCTGAAAATGCTATAGTGCTTTTCAGCTGTTTACAGTGCAGGTTGTTTCATTGGTTTCATGTGTGCTCCTCTGAAAACAGAGCAAAGGATGCTGTCACCTTTTGTGAAGTGCTCCCAAATAGCCAGATGAGAATTGTGGAGTACTGTTGCAACAGGGGACTTTTCATCCAGTGTGTGTCATATTTCAGTGTGCTTCTTGCTTATGAAGAGGTCTGTTTACAAGGTATTGTAAACTCTGTTTACTGCTAACCCAAGGTATCTTTTCACCACGGAGTGGATTACTGTGCCTCTGCACTTAAATGATCTTATTTTTATATTCAGTTAATAAATGGGGCCCTGGAAGGGCATATCTTGTTGTGTTTCTCATTTCATTGCTGTCCCTGCCAGTTCAGAAGCAAGCAAATGGGCTTTTGGGGCTTAAGTAAATTAGCTCCACTTCAGTATTCCAAGTGTGGGGGCTTTGAAGACCTTGCTGAAAGCTTGGACATGTCACAGAAGATACTGATCATCTTCCTGAGTACTGCTTCTATAATTTAAAACCATTATGCTGTCAGTCTCCCAGGTATGCAGACCCACTTACTGCTTGTTATCTTTCATACTTGGAGCATTGGCCTCTGTTTTGATTTTTCTTTTGAGTTTAGGACCAGCACAGTGGTGTTAGTATTATAGAAACTTAATTGCACATGCAGTTGCAACTTGGCTCCCAAGATCTGCAGCTGATTGAATGAGTAGAAAACACTTGATTTTTAGGCAAGTATTTTTCAGTGATTAGTGCATCTTGTTTGGATGAAACATAAATACCAATAGCAAAGTGCTGAATTGAGGTGTGTTGGGTGTTTTTGTAACCATACTGACAGCTTGTCTCTCACTTTGAATTAGTTGGCTCTTCTTTAATTTAGATTGCATGTAATCTTGAGTGAGAATTGATAATAAGCAAACCCCAGAATCTGAGCTGCTGAGTTCCAGTTTGATTATTTATTCAAGTTTTTGGGCTGTTTAGAATTTGGAGGGAGCCTTTACCCTGGAAAAGGCTGCTTTGTAGACAACTTCGTTGTCAGTTGAGAGTGCTGTGAAAACAGCTGCAGAGAGCACAAGCAGCAATACAGCCAAGGCGTTGTTTGAACAAAATAGGCTGGAGAGATTTTCCTGAGTCTTACCCAACACAAATTTTGAGGGCAAAACTTCAGCCAGTAGAGTGTGTTGAGGAAAGAGATTGCTTTGGAAGTGAGATCACTTGTTTTTCAGCATCAGGGTGCATTTAGCAGTACTTTTGCAGGGACCTTGTCTGCATGCCAGCAGGCAGTAGGTTAGAGCATCTCTCAGGGTAAAGGGGTAGTGTGGTTTGGGGAGTCTACCTCCTTGGAAAGTTTGAAGTATAAGCCAAAAAATATATTCCATGTTTCTGCAGTCAGGGGGAGGGGCTGAATTTTTGAGGGTCTCAGTTTTATTGTATTTTAAGATTGCTATTAATTGGTTTGCCCTGAGCAGAAGGGAACTGAATTCTGATTTCTCTGTCTTCCAGGAGCCACCCATGTAGAGCATCTGTACAAACAAGGTGCTGGGAACATCCCCCAGCACAGCTGGGAGTTGTACCCTGTTGAGGTGCTTGGGATTGTGTTGAGCTGTTAGCATGTCTGGCAGATGCTCCTTTATATCCACCAAGTCCAGAGATTTATCTTTACATAGTGATTTCAGGTTTCACCTTACTTGCAGGTGAGTCACTAACCACAGACCTAAGCATGTGGTCTTGAGCTCTGCTCCAGATACTGAGATAAGAGCTGTCTGCTGGCTCCCTGCCACCTCCCAAATATAGGAAGATGAGCTTTACCTCAGACTCAGCTCACTTCTTTTCCTCCTTGTTTAGGCAGCTTGGATAAATGCATTTTGATAGGACAAATCCAGGCAATAGTGCTTTTCCTTCTCTGTCTATGTAGTGAATTCCTGCCTTTAGGAAGTGCCTTCCTACATAAAGGGTCAGTGTTTCAGCTTTTCTGCTGGTTCTCTGCAGTATTTTTGTGTTTTTTTTCCCTAAGTTGCCTGAGCCATCTCCACAAACACAAGCTATGATCATCAGGCTTGTGACTGCTTATCCTGCAAATGGGGAAATCTCTGATAAACTTTGCATTCACTGTGGCCTTTTATCTTTTGGTCTCGGTGGATCTATTTACAGAGCTGAAGTTGGACACCAGATTCTGTGGAGTAGAAATTTGTGAAGTTGCGTTGGTATTTATTTTTCTCTTTGAAGAGGTATTAGACTCTTGGACTGATTTTTTTGAGAGACTAGGAAGGGAAGGGAGAGTAAAGTGACATTACTTAAACTCTTGAGTTTTTTCTAAAACTTGGAAGATTGGTATATTAAAAACAAATAAAACCCCTCAGGGATAATTTACATGGGAATAATATAATTACAAGAGTTGGAATCGAGTTACAACTCAATTTAAAAGAGTCTTGGGGAGTTTCTCATGGACATAGTGAGAATATTACAAGTACATCATGGCTAAATGAAACCACCACTATAAAAATCTTTGTGGCCTTTTAGCAGGTCCTTACAGGAAGGTGAGTGCTCATCAGAATCTTGATGCAGTTCCCACAGCTGTGGTATGTTTATATCCAGGTCTCCTCATCAGATACTGGCACAGCCTGTCTTTTTTGTTCTTACTGGAGTTATTGCACTTCCAGGTCTGAGTTAGTTTCTCAACAGAAACTGAGCCTTTTAGATGAGCACCAGAATGAGTGCTTATCTCAGTGCATTTCTGCATACAAGGTGGAGATCTTTGTTTGCCACGCAATCATAGAATGATTTGGGTTAGAAGGAACCTTGAAAGGTTATCCAGTTTTAAGTTTTAACTCCCTGCTGTGGCAGAGACATCTTCAACTAGACCAGGTTGCTTAGAGCCCTGGCTAACCTGACCAGGAAGATTTCCAGGGAGGGAGCAACCACCACCTCTCTGAGCAACCTGTTCAAGTGTTTTACCACCCTCATAGTGAAAAATTTCTCCTTTATATCTAGTCTGGATCTACCCTTTTTAGTTTAAAACCCTTAACTGCTTGTCCTATCTCCATGGTGCTCAAATGCAGTGCCAGCTGAAGTAGGTTTTTCTTTGCAGCCCAGTGGTCTCATGATAGCTCAGTTTAAGCATTTGAAAATAAACAATCCCAAATCATAAAACCCTGGGCTAGAACCTTGGCTTAGAAAGGCTAGGTGTGTTTTCTGACTTGTATGTTGAGACTCAGTTGTAAAGATTGTCAACTTTGATGTTTTTTGTCTAGCTACTTATAAGCCTTGACGAAGGAAAGCAGCAGGACCATGAAAGCTGGGTTGCATGTACAGTTTTCTAAAGGGCTCTTCTCTAGTGGTGAATTGATGTGCAAATCTAAGGCAATTAGGATTTCTTCCCTTCTGGCTCTTTGAGCTGGAGGTCACCAGCAGCAAACATCCACTTGGTTGTTTGTACCTCCACACTGTTATTTCTCTCTGGTTTAAAGTCATCCTCCTGGAATGGCTTCCCTTGTTTTGCTTTTGAAGCCACAAATGGTGGCCCATCTACTGCATTTCATGGTGTAGTGTTGAAGTAGTTAGTAGTATGTCAAGGGAGAAAATGCAACACCTTTGGAATCTTGTTTACAGAATTCACAATATAACAATACGTAGGGTCCTACTAGGTTATCTAGAATACATCTGCCAAGAACAACATTCTGCTGCTGTGAAGCATATCTGATGCATATTGGGATTCAACCTGTTGTATGGCCTAAAACAGGAACATCCTGGAATTAAATTTAGATTAGATTAATTCTAAATGCCACCTCCCTTTTGTTTAATTACCTGTACTAGAAGGACGTTGCTCTAGACAGATGAGAAGAAAGGAAATAATGGAATATTAAAATATTTAAAGGAATAGTAGAAAAGAACTTTGCAATTATAAATAGGAGTTTCCAACATGCCATGTAGTGTCCAGAGGATTAAAGAGCATATGCAGAACTCTTTAGCAGGACCTTAAAAACAGCTATTGCACGTAGTTGGAAAATGCTTAGGAAGGTCTGGAAATGGAGGTATCATGGAGCTGGTTTCTCTGGATTTGTCTAGTGGCTGCTTATTTTTGGCATCAAAAAAGGAAACCTGAGACCTTCTGTGCTGAAGCATTTCTGAGGGCTTTTTCCACTGTGGGTTCTCTGGTATGCAGTAAAGGCAAGTGTCCTTAGTTCAGCTGGGTGAGAGTTAATTTTCCATTAAGTAACTGGTACAGTGCCATGTTTTGGATTTAGTATGACAAAAACATAGACAATTCTCTGATATTTTAGTTGTTGCAAGCCGGCGGCTGCTTGGTACTCAGTTGCCAGCTGGGGTTAAGCTGTGACAGCAAATTCAGATTGCGACATTTCCCCGAGCCGGGCAACTGCAGCTGCCTCCTTTCCATGGCCTCTGAGTCTCATGAAACTTAATTTCCTTTGTTGTGCTTGGCTGAAGTTGGCCCGTGGGTTCAAAAGCAAATGCTTTCATCTTGCATGAAGTACAGGCTCGTAAGGTTGTGTTTTTCTCGAAGAAACCAGGCTGAAGAACAGCAGAGCCTAGAGCTGTATTGATTCCTGTCTGCTGGAAGGACTAGGTAGTTCAGGGTTAGGGATTGCTTCGACTTTTTGGGCTTGCTGGATAGCTGGTTCTAGTGGGGAAAGCTGGTCTTTGCTCTACAGCGTTCGGGGTCCTTGTAGTTTCATGTCCTTGGATCTTGTCTTTCTGTGCTGCTGCTGGGCTGGGTGATGTGTTCGGAGCAGCCCTGCCTTGGCTGCGAAATGCCAGCAGGTTGTGCTGCGGGGCTCCACAAGAGCTTGTCTGTTCAGCCTCCCTCTGGCAGGGAAACCCCAAAGGATCTGGGGAAAGGTCTCTGCCTGATCCGGGGCTTCCTGGTTAGCCCTGGGTGATGTTCAGCTTGTGCTTTGGCTGGAGTTATGTTTGTATTACGATGTTTGAAGGAGAGGTTCTGCAAGCACGCAGAACTTGCCCAGCATCCTCCTGGTCCAAATTAAGAGGGCTAAAGCTGTTTGGACTGGATTATACCATCTGTTTGAAAAAGCAAACAAATAACTTGTCTTCATGAAAAGTGGCTAAATGATTTTAACTCTTTCAAGCTGGGAGAGGTGAAACCAATTACACTGTTTTTGAGGGTAATGGACTTTTGCAACTTGTTCCTGTTCTTTACTGCAGATCATATAGCCAAAGCTTGTGAGTGTCAATACTGTTACATCTTTCACATAACACTTGTAACAGTGAGAAAAGGAAAAGAAAGGAGCAGGTGTTTATTCATCTGGAAAAAGCTCACATTTAGAAGTGACTGTCATGGCTATTTAAAACAAAA